CCTGGGCCTGCTCCCCGGTGCTCACTGTGCCCCGGTGGCTCCAGCAGGAGGAGGAGGAGGTGCCGCTCAAGAAGGAGAAGACACATTTCACTGTGCGGCTGACGGAGCTCAAGGCAACCGACAAGGTGAAACTGATCAAGGAGGTGAAGAGCTTCGTGCCAGGAGTGAACCTCGTGCAGGTGAGGAGGGGACTGCTGGGGCTGCGGTGCCCCGGGGCTGGGGGCTGGATCCCTGGGCCTGGGAGAACAGTCCTGGTGCAGGGGAGCGGATGAGGTCAGGGCAGGAGTCAGGTGATCCATGCATCTGGTATATTTAGGGAAGGGTCTTCCCTCCTAGCTCTGCTGCATGGCAAACAGCCGAGTCCGTGGCAGGAACAACGGGGTGAAGAAGGAGGCTCAGAGCAAACACCTTGAAATTCTCTGTGCCAGCCTCAAATCTAAGCTGCTGGAAGCAGCCAGGGTCCCAGCTCCAGTGGAGTTGCTGGGTCTCCCCCCAGCTTCGTCAAGGCCAGCATATTTTTTAATTTAGACAAGTTTGTCCAATTTACACGTCTTGCAACCCACATTTCCAGCCCTTTCCAGTGCTGCTGTATTCACAGGTGATGCCTCCTCCTTTTCCTTGGAGGAGATGGGCCTTTTATGGTCCTGTGAGGGCCTGAGCTGACGCCCTTGAGCCACAATGTAGGCTTGGAACAAAGAACAGGTGATAGAAGTGTTACTGGGGAAGCATTTAACGTGCTTCGGTCCTCCAGGAGTGATGCTTTCATGCCCTGGGGATAGCAGTAGCCCTTTCTGTTCACCCGGCTGCAGGGAGGAAACGCTTCCCTTACTGGTAGCCCAGAAGAATTTCCAGAAAATCTGACCTGTTCGCATTGGTCAATCCCAAAGCAAACAGCTCAGTATCAGAGAAACTCCGGTGCAGAGCCCTCAGTGTCACTGGCTGCTGGGATGAGTAACTGTCAGCTTGGCTGGTCCAGCTGATGGGTCCCACACACACATTAAAACACCAGTCCCAGTAACGGACACAACTGGTGGGTAATTAGAAGCTCTGTGGGGAACTCAAGCTGAACAACTTGGCTTAGTGCGTGGAACCTGCCAAACAAGCCGGTTTCGGCTCCGATGCGGGTCCGAGGTTGGTAGATGCAGGTTATTGCTGGCAAACATTGCCACGTGTGACCTACCCGAGCTGGTGCTTTGGTTCAAGCACACCCAGACACAAACCCATCACTGCTGCCAGCTCTGCTGGTGAGGCTGCATTCGGAGCATGGCTGGTCCATCTTTACTGTCCATTTTACTGCCATCTGGTTGGGCTGTTCTGACAAGCCTCGCAGGGAACCCTCCCTGCCTGTAGGACTGTCCATTGCTTGGAAGTCGGCACTGCTGGGAAAACCTCTGGTGTTGGGAGCTGGTGGGACTCAGGTCAGTCCTGCAGAAACAACTCAATAAGGTGGGGGTGTCATCAGCACGAGCTGGGGTCTAGTCTGTTTGCATCTCAGGAAGCGTGTTCCAGCTCCACAGACACACACTCACCTCCTGTCTCCTCGTACACTTTGGCTGGGGCTGGAACAGCTGATCCTGTGCAAGACCAGCTTGGGGCCTGCTGCAGGGCACCAGGAACAGCCACTTCCCCTGACCAGAGCTGCTTTACAGCAGTGGTTATACATGGGCGAGAAGGGTCTTAACTGGAGATAGCCTTGACTGTGTTCCCTGTCCTTGTCACAGCCAGCTGGTACGGGCTCCTGTCTGGATCCTGCCCTGCCAAGCTCTGCCTGTGCCACAACCCTTTCTCAACACTGGCAAAACCAAGGTTTTTCTGCCACCATGGGTACATCATCACTGCGCCCAGCTGGAACCAAAACCACAAACCCTTCCTTCTGCTGGCAGTGGTCAGGCTGTTGGTGCTCAGTACCTGCAGAGCAATATGGCAGAGAGCTGGCAGCAGCTCTGCGCCACAGGAACCTCCCAGGCTCTGTTTTAAGGAGCTGAGGAGCTTGGTTGTGCTGCTTGGGGTGAGAGGAAGAGCATCCGACTGCACCGGGGTTATCCTCCGGGTTCCTGCCATTTCTTCACAGCAGCCCTGCAGGAATTCCCTTTCAATCAGCTCAGCAGCTTTTCAGCTTGTCTTAAATGCAGAGCACCAGTGGTTGGGGTGAAAAGTCCTGCAGATAGGAAGATTGTGTTGTCCATACTGGAGCTCTTTTACCCGGTCCAGTGTGTTCCTGCACAGCTGAACCCTGCAAGAGCCTCCTCCCCGCTGGCAGAAACGTGTGAACCAAAACACTCACACTTGGAATGGCCAGGAGCTGCCTCGTGGTAGCTCTGCCAGTGGTCCAGGCACCGTGCATGTGGTGGGGGGAATTGAAGGGCAGCTCCTCACCGATAAAAGTCTTCCAGAGCTGAAGGGGATGCACCATCACTTGCAGTTGGGTTTAAACATCCCCCTGTGGGATGTGCTGTAGCTAAAGTGAAAGTCTTGGGCTTTGGACCTTGGGTTTATGCTGAGGTCAGTCTCATGGCTCTGAATCTGTTAATCCAGTTAGCGAAAGCCAGCTTCCAATCTCACGCTTCGGTCCCTCCCACAGGCAAAGAAGCTGGTGGAGTCCCTTCCTCAGGAGATCAAGGCCAACGTCTCCAAGGAGGAAGCAGAGAAGATCAAAGCAGCACTGGAGGCAGCAGGAGGGTACGTGGTTTCTGGAGTAGACACCCCCATCTCACCACAGAGAGACCGGCACGATGGCAGCCATCCCCATTGCTGCCATCCTCACTGCCACCATCCCCAGCACTGGGGTCCGGATGCTTCCGAGCACGGTGGGAATGCCCTCTGGAAGCGGCCCTGTGCAAGAATGTTGTATGGTTTGGTGGGGCTGCCGTCTGGTCCTGGCACTGCAATGAACTCTACTTCATAAATAGCCGAAAAACCCTCAGAAACGATTCATCTCTCCCCGTTAACCGGGTGGGCGGTGAGATACAAG